CCGAATTCTCTTACGTTACCGTACAATATCCACGTCCTGGTTGGGGGAGGTTAACCCCATTCCCTTTCGAGGAACGAAGCGAAGCTTGCGTACGCGGAACCTCCCCCCCCCCCCCCTGGATCAAATCCCCCCTGCGCCGGTTCACGCCGTCGTGGACTTCTACCAGGGTTACTTGTGATTGCCTGCTGCCTTTCGTTCACCCCCTCCTCTCTCAAGTGGACAGATGACTGATGATGACTGATGCTTCATGATGTTTCGGACCTGGATTGATCCCAACCGCCATGCATTTCAAGGGCTTTACCCGAACAACCTTGAAGAATCACAGGTTGACTAGCGATTTTGCATTCCAATGCCAGCGCCTCGGGCGATGCACTTGGAGATGGGCCTGGAAATCTTCAGCTTCCCAAGGGAGTGAATATAAGCCTTAAGAGTCTTTGGAGCGATGTCCTCATGTGCTGCCAGCTGCTCTTGTTCGATCTGAGGAATATGATTTGCCCAGCGTGTGCTTCTCCCTGGACGGCTGCTTCCTGTATGTCTCCTCCTCCTTGCCGCAACCGTCCTCCGCTCCAGAGGCGGTCCGGAGCTTAGGCTGCCCACGTCGCGATCGACCGCTCTGTCCCTCTGTCCGGCGAAACGCTCGCAGCGTGGGAAACGCGCCAGTTGGCCAGTCGGGAAGCCCACCCCTACGAGTCCAAGGACCAAGTTAAACCTGGTCCTTGACCTCCTTGAGTACTGGTTTTGTATGACCATCTCCGATAAAACGAGCTCTTTGACTTGTAGGGCAACCTTGTGACGTGAATTTCCCTCGGACGTCTCGGACTTGGTCCCAGTCTCATGCTCTACTTCCCTCGCCCTCCCGCAGCTTACGGCCACCGCGTGTGGCGTCCAGCGCGGATCCCGGGCAGCGCCCAGCGCCGAACGGTTCCCGAGGTGAAGGCGCTCTGTGGGCAGGTGGCCGTCTTCGAGCTGAAAACCGCGAAGCTGGTCCTGCAGCTCCCCTGCCATGAGAAGGCGGTTCGCCCCTTGATGGAACGGGGTCCCAGGATCCACAGGTTGGACATTGAGATCTGTGCAGCTGTCCTGGACCTACAGAGGTTAAGTGACCTTACAGGACCCTACAGGGGTACCTATAGGATAGTCTATAGGGTTCTTCAACCTCTGCTGGGAAGTCAGAATCCACCACTAGACCAGATCGGGGTAGTGCATGGGTCATGTGGACTCTCAGGGGGTTGAGGCTGAAACACAGGTCCCGCACACAAAAAGGCCTCGCTTTTTCCAGATCGGGTGGGATTCCGCCGCCGCGCATCCCACCGCCGCGACGGCTTGAGGTTGCTTCGACCGCCATCCCTCGGAGGAGTGGCTGGTGACGGGATCCTTCGACAAGACGGTGAAATTCTGGAGCTAAAAAAAGACGCGCCACGTGCGCGCGCCACGACGTGCGCGCCCCTGCCACGACGCCCACGCCAGACGTGGAGACGGATTTTGGTGCGAAGGATTTTCGTGTGAATGCCTGTAATGTACAGTATAGACTCTTGATTAATAACAACCCCATTTGAATTGATCATCTTCATATGGGGTGTATTAATCAAGAGCCTACATTAAAAACATGTAAAAACATCCTGCCGACCTTTGAGATAGATTTTGGGGTGCCGAGGGTGGGATGGCCACAGTCAGGGCCAACGACGCGGACGCGAAGAATGACATCACCCTATCGCCCTGCCATGGATTATGATCCTAGTCTTCCGTTCGACCATTTCAACAATGCTTGACCATGTTGACCTGTTTTTGTCCTCATAAAAGCCCTACTGTATATTGATATTTATATGTGATCTTTGTCAATCTAAAGGTTGTTCGGGATTCAGGCAACTACTGTAAATCTGAAATCCTCAGTGAAGCTAAGGGTTGTTTGGTAAAAACCCACGAACCCAATGGTGGGCCAGGACTCCTATACCCAAACAATCCCTGTATACGGGAATATTCGGAATATTTACATACCTGACTCTGACCCTTCAAACAGCTTAAGCCCACCCCCACCTGCCTTGGTTCCAGTCCCATGTTGTCCCATTGGTTGTTTGGAAACTCGGCTGGGCCACTCAGCAGTGCGCACCGCTGCGCCGTTTGGCGCCGCTGCTCACGCGCCAGGCGCTGGAGGAGCGGCCCTGGTCTTCAGCCTTGGAGCGGCTGGGCGCTCTGCTGCCGAGCGCCCGGCGCGAGGAGGGGCGCGGGGGTGCCGGAGCCGAGGACCGTAGGACGGTATGATTGGACTGATTGGCATTGAAAGAAGCAGGCGCTTATTTTCAAGCATGGTGTGAGAGGGGTTCAAACATATCAACATAACATATCATCTACACCTAGATCTTCCAACTATGCATTTTTTTTGCCTTTTGGTTGGTTTTATACACTAAAAGGGCATAACTTTTGCATAGTTGGAAGATCTAGGTATACGGAGTCTATATGATTAGATAAGATGTAGCCAGCAGTGTAGCCAGATGTCGCCAGTGTAGTCATGCACCTCGCCCCCTGCGATTGAGGGAGAAGTTGAATGCCTTTTCACATCCTTTTGGCCTTGGAGCCTTTGCCAAAGTCCTGCGGTCACGGAAGCCTTTCGGAACACAACACAAGTCTAATGTGTTTCTTGTGTTTGATATATGATATGACTACTATATCTATATATATATAGATATACGATAACTATAAGAGTATAGTGGTTTGCCACCACATGATGCCTCCCTCACAACCTTTTTGTGCCAACTCTCAGACTCCGAATCAAAAGATCCACCACTTGAAGGAAAGACCGAGTCGCCGAGTCCTGTGAAGGTTCTTTCAATGGCATTGCTTAGAAGGCCCCACCAATACCGGGGCCTTTTCTGTTGTTCACCTCCTAAGACCCACGGATTTCCGGCAGCTTCTTTTTTCCCTTAAGCACATGCTGAAAACCAGCCTTAAAGCCACTTCTGGTAACTGCTGCTTGCACCTCTTGCCGGTGACCTTCAGCCGTGCGCCACTCCAGGAGCTCGTCTCGCTTGTGCGCCACGCCCTGGCGCGCGCCGCGCCGCGCGAGCTGGAGCTGCTGCGGGCGGCGGAGGAGATGGCAGCGCTGCCGTGGCTTTGGTGGCGGAATCGGCGGAGGGACGCAGATGGGTTTGGTGACGTTAAGGCTTCAGTGATGTTGAGTCGAGTGGTTGGGTTGCTAGGGTTGGATTCCAGGATGTTGTACTGGGAATGTGGGAATGTTGGTGTGAACTGAGGTTCTTTGGTGGCAACGGAGAGTGTTCTTTGCCAGTCAGTGGTTGGGGAACCGGATAGTTGTTGGAACTTTTGTTCAGGAGGGACGACTTGTTCAGGATGCGCATACCAGATCCATCCTTTTTGGGAGCATCAACTTCTTGACCCTTTGAAGGGAACCAATTTGCATGAATGACTGGAAACAGGCTCATGCGCCATCCGACCTGCGCATCGCAATCAGGTTTTCCTCGCCCACGGAGGAGGAACTCCTGGAACGTCTCCAGCGCTTTGAGCAATTTCTTCGCTCTCTACCTGGCAGGCGAGATGCGGTTGAAGCAGTTTCCCTGGTCATTCAACTGCAAGCGCGGAAGGGTTTGGACCCCTCAAGGGGCGGACTGCGACTGTCCTTTACACCACCTTATTGCCATATATTAGGGCGATGTGCCATGTGCCCTTCTCAATTCTCCTTTTCCGTCCTATTCCGGGGGATGATGAAGGATGTTTCAGAGGATCGTCCAACGAATCCCAGAAGGATCGGCCACAGCTGCGAGATCTTCGATCACATCTTCCCCCTCACCGGACGCCGCCTCCGGACGGCGACGGCCACGTGGAGGCCTCGACTGGTCACCGTGGCGCGCTCCGTGGTGGATGGCTTTTGCCCCATGCGCTTCCTCTGCCGATTGGAGACCCAGCTCTTGGAGGACGCAGCTCTTCGCTTTCGCTTTCGCTTTTCTCTTCGCCCGCGGGGGTGAAGGTGAAGGGGGAGGTCGTCCTGGCTGGGGCGGTCTGCTTGATAGAAGCCTTGAGGCACAACAATCCGATTGAGTGTCGATGTTCAATGTTGCAATCCTTAGGATTCAACAAAGATATCTTTCCAGGACCTTGCGAGTGACCTTTTGAGATCCCAGTTTGAGGTCACTTAGTCCATAAAGAAGTCACTTACAGACTCCAAAGAGGTCACTTTGAAGGTCCTGGTTGGTATCCCTTTTGTTCAAACATATGATAGCCTTAGAATGCTTCGATGATGAATTTTGCAATCCTTTTGGCCCCTCCAGTCTCCAGTCGTTTTTTGATCTGCACCAAGCCCACTGGCGGATCAAGCAGAACCATGACTTGACCGAAGAGTCTTTTCGCCTTTGTAGGGTTGGCTTGCTGTTCCTCTCCGGACTTGACCCCAAACAGATGGGGCCGGAGTTGTATACCACCACGACGACCTACGTTTGGGGCATCCAAATCACCACCCAAAGGCACGCCACATCCCTTCGGTCACCCTTGACGTGACGACGGATGATGGGCCGCGCGCGCAGGTGCTTCGAAGGCTTTATGGCTCACTGGAGGTGGTCTACAGCGATGAGCTGGATGCCAAGGAGCTGGCGTAGTCGGCATAGTCCGACCCTGTCCTTGGCAGAAAAAGGAGATTCCGTGGAGCTTTAAGCACGAGTGTTCAAAGGCACCGGGACCAAACCAGAATGTGACTTGGCACAGCCAGCCCAGCCCCCCAAACATCCAACAAACATCGGGAGGCTGGTAGAACCCCGGATGTGAGGAAAAACACTGGAATTTAGTCTAAAAGTCTCCAACACATTCCTGGGTCATCCTGCCTGGGTGTCCCAACAAAGGCCACCGTAAGCCGGTGCTTATGGTGCTGAGTGATGTGCCGGTGACCGGGCCTGAAGTTCGGACATGTGAACTCGCGCGGATCTGTCTGCCGCCAACGGCCCGACGGCTCAAGATGCAAACCAGATGGGCTGCATGTGATGTTTTTTTTGGGGTTCCTGGTGGATCAGTCAAGGGCCAATGTTACTCAACCGAGCTTGGCTGAAGAGCTTGATTCCATGCGAAGTGGCAATGAAGTTAGCTTTGCTAGCAACTTTGGACGGATTTTGGTGCGGCATGGGTTGGATGTCGTGGCCTGCAGTGTTCCAGTATGCCCCCCTCAACAGGCCCATGCCAGAACATGGAGAGTAACTATGCCCTATAGCCTTCCAAGACCATTTAAAGGAAGTTGACGGTTAACGTGGCTTTGTAGTCAAAAAGCATCAGGGACATTCCAGGTGGTTTTGATAGGTAGTAGGATGTAGTAGGTACACCTGGATTCTTCTAGATACTTCTGATGACTCCAGTTTCGAACGTTTCGAACCTTCTTCGGTTCGCCCTAAGTCTGCCCGCCCAACCTCACACGTGTGACCACATGAGTCGAAACTCGGCGATCGTCGATTGTGCCCAACTCACACCAATACTACCGGCTCATGGACCTCTTCTTGGCCGCCCTTTTGGGCCTCGGACGCTTGGAGAGACTTGGGAGGGGGGGTCCGCTATAGCTTCCCCGCAAAGGTACGCACGTACGGGGCACCCACCAACGGTCCGCGCGGAGGGTTTCTTTGGGGACCGAGGACGGGGCGTGGACTGCAGGTCACCGGGCGGATCCTGGCGGTTGTTCTGGGTGACACTCTGTGAAAAATCTCGGGGCTGCTCGGGGGTTCTTCAGCCTCTGGCTGGAGGTTCTGGAGGTTCCTGGTCCGGCGGTTCCAAGAGAGTTAAGTGACCTGAACTAGGACCCTAGTGGGGTACTTCTGATAGTCGAACTAGGGTTCTTCAGCCTCTGTTTGTTTGAGGGTTCACTCCTGGGCGGCGGCTTCCGCGGAGCGAGTGGCGCACCGACGTCTGACCGGTCTGCGCGCGGCCCCTGAGGAGCGCCATACTTGACGGCCGTGGCACGTGAAGTGCTCGGCCTGGGGCAGCGCCCGGACGGACCGGGCGACGCGTCGAACAGGACGCGGAGACACCTGCCCCAGGGTGCGGCAGCGGCTCGGCGGCGCTATCAGAGTGGCAAGGACATGTTTGCCCGCCTTTCGCCTTTCACCATGATTTTGAGCTTCTGTTCAGAATGAACAGATGTGAACAGGAGTGTGAACAGGTATATGAGAGCTTAGTAGCATGTTAACCCGAGGCTCTGAATCCCGAAGCACCATGGCTTGGTGGCAAGGGTTTTGCACTACAAAGCCATGTCAACCATGTTGGTAAAACGGTCAGGGCTAGGCTAGGCCGGCTAGGGCTGAACGGTCTGGGAAGACGTGGGGGTCCTGCGGCCATTGGTTCTTCTCCAGGGTCTGTGTGGCTTGGGGGTCCCGCGTGGTCCCACGTGGTCGGCTGCGGAGACGCCCGCGCGCTGTGCCGCCATGGGGAAGAAGAGAAAAGATAGTGATGACGACAAGAAGAAGAAAAAGAAGGACAAAGATAAAAAGAAGAAGGAGAAGAAAAAGAAAGAGAAGAAAAAGGCCAAGAAAGAGAAGAAGAAGAGTTCCTCCAGTAGTAGCAGCAGTTCAGATGCGGATGCGGCAAAGCCCGAGGATGTCCTGAAAGAAAAGGCCGCGGGACTCGCGACGGCGACCGCGGCGGCGACCGAAGCTGAAGCTCCTCCGGTGAATCTGGACAGCTTGCCTCCGGTGGAGGAGGGTATCCTTCGTTTCGAGTTTTCCATCGAGGAGGTCGGGCCCTTGGGTCTGCGCTTCTCGGGCGGGTCGCCGCCGATGATTCTGTCGGTGGCACCGGACTCCTTCGCAAAGAAGAAGGCGATCCCTGCGAACCACGAGGTGCGGCTGGGGGGGGGGGAGATGAAGTGAGGCACCGGAGGTTTTGTGCTGCTTGGCTTCCAGACCTGAATCATGCTAAGGAGCTAGGCCAAGAAGACCCCGGTATAGTGAGAAAGATGCCGTGGATTTTTTCAGTCCTCCCACCATCTCCAACACCTGAATTCCTCCTCGATCCGCAAAATACTGCGATCCGCCGGGGCCGGTGGTCCCGGGTTCAGAGCGCCGCAGGTTCGTGCGATCAACGGCCTGGCCTTGTTGCCGCAGAACCAGCAGCGAGTGATGCAGTTCCTCAAGGGCCGACCCTTAGTGTTGGACGTGAGGCCTGTGGGATGGAAGCCGCCTGAGAAAGTGAAGGAGCCGGAGCTGCAAGGGCTGGAGCTTGGTGCTGACATGGGCTGGCTGGAGCAGCTAGCCGCCCCAGGTAAGAAAGACCAATTCCCCAAAAGAGGCCATGAAAAGAACAAGGGAAACATGTCCAGAGTTGAGGTTTCCCTTCTGGATGTGTATCATATCAATATCACAGAGTGCCAAAGAAACCCTAAGAAACCCAGCCCAGAATGCCCGGCCTGCAACAGAAAGCACGCTTCCAGAACAGAAAGCGCACTTCCAGAAGGAAATGCTTTTCTGCTTCCAACTGTTTTTGAAAGAGTCCCACCAACTTCGCCACTTCCCGTTGCTTCCAAGCGGAGCTTGAGCGCCTCAGATCTGGTCGTCGCACCCCTTTCCAGAGCGCCCTTATTGGGGTCACCTAGGAACACCAGGAACCCTTCTTCCCTTCCGCGGCGACCATTTCCACCCAGTTCTTCCGCCGAAACACCCGGGGTCGTCGCCCCGGCGCGGTGAGTCGGCGAAGCGAAGCCGTCCCGTCGTAAGGACGCCCCGGACGCGGCGTCCTTCGGGTTCCCGTCGTCCGTCCGCGAGGAGCTGAAGCGGAAGCAGGCGGCGGAGGAGGCGGAGCGACAGGCGAAGATGGCCGTCGAGAAGAAGCGCCGGGAGCAGGTGGCCAAGGCGACCTCTGGGGCGGGAAGAGGGGTCTTGGGAGCGGGGTCTCCTGTGTTTTTATTTGACAGGAAGTGCCAGCAGTCAAAGGGCACCGTATGGCTTCTGGGAGTTTGGGAGCCTGGGTCCATGTCAAAGGCTCCTGTTTTGCAAGTGTTTTTGGGGTGTCCGGGTTTTTGAACACCTGATCCGCGGATGTCAATGTAGATGGGTGAGGACGTGAACCTGGCAGGGGTCGCTGAATTTCAAGCTGAATAGTAATAGCCTTTGGGGCATAAATCTTGGATCGCACTTCTCAGCTTGTTGAATGAAGTGCCTGCCACCATTCCATGGCCCTTCGTGAGCACTGGACGACCTTTTTTTCGCTAGGAGCAGGCGGAGGAGGCCCAGCGGCAAGCGGTGGAGCGACAGGTGAGGGAGGAGAAGGAGAGGATCGAACGTGAGGAGATGTTGGCGAGAGCCCGGGAGCTGCACAAAGAGCAGCGGGAGAAAGAGGAGGAGACGGCGACCGACCGACTCGAGAACGGCCTGGTGTCGGTCCGAGGTTCTTCCTGGAGTTCTCTCATTTTTCTCTGGGCGAACGGTGGTGTGGGTGGTGTCCAGATGATCCTGTTCCTGTTGCAATCCGCTCTGAATGTTCTCGGGTCCTGCAGCATTTGACCTTCTCCAGGGCCCGGTGCAGTCCAACCTCCTCCCCCTCCCGAACGCGGCCGCGCCGAAGTCGGCCTTCCCAAGACTGGCCAGGAGTTCCGGAAGGCCTTGAACAGCGAGCCGCCTGAGCTGCGGAAGGCGGCCGAGGACATCATGGAGGCGGACTACGGTACGGAGATCAAGCTCCAGGAGCCCCGGGAGTAGGTAGGGACTCACGTGGAAGTGGAAAAATGGTCCCTTGGAAGATCATTTTCCTCTACCAACAGGGGGGGTTCCACTTCCATGTTAGTTCCAGATGTTCCAGGGAGAGTAATCACGTCCTTTCGGCGTTGAAGAGCTCTTGCGGGGGCCAAGAGAGGATCAATTGACCCTATAGGATCATACTGGGGGGTACCTATGATACAGTCCAACTGGGGTTCTTCAACCTCTGGAAACAGCAAGGGCGTTTTCGGGTGGATCGTGCGTCCACGCCAGAGATTGAAGGCTAGTTGACTGGAGGGTTTTGTTCCACCTGCTCAGCGTGAGAGCTTAAGGTCCAAATTTCGGTGAGTGGAGCTTCCCATTCAGCACTATCCACCAATCTTTTCCACATGCCGGCTTGTTCAGTGCGCCATGCGAGAGTGTGGCCGCTTGAAGGCACATGTTGCCGATGTGACTGGTGGCAACCGCCGGGTCTAAGTCTAAGAAGTCATCAGGTTTTTGCCAATTTCTCCTCTGTGGAGAAATACCCAAAGAACCCGGTCCAGGGATCTGGGGACTCTCAAGACCCTTGCCAAGAGTCTTAGGGTAGCATAGGGCAGCCACATAGCAGACAAACTGCTCTCTAACACCAGTGGCCTCCGCTTTCCCAACCAACCAGGCAGTGTGAGCGCACCAGGACCGTGTGGGCCTGCCTCTGCGGCTCCTCACGCGACGGAAAGAGGTGGCCTGGATCTGGGCTGGAGAGGTGCAGGAGCTCATTGGCGGCGGCGCGCCTGACGACACATTCACCCAGTGAGATTCCTGGTTCGGTGCGGCGACGACCACTTTAAAACAAAGGGTTGATTCTGGATGATTCTGGCTTTGTCGTGCCAAATCCTGAGTAAAACATGTAAAACACCATGGTTGTTCGGGATTCAGGCTATTTCAACCATGGTGGTTTGACTTCTAGGGACCGCTACCGCGCCGGTCCATACCAGCGCCTGTTGGTGTCGCCGTGTGTGTAGCGCTTGCCGATGTGTGTAGCACTCCCGCTGATGATGGCAGTGTAAAAACCGCTGCGGGGTGTGAGCCGTTGTGGCTGAAGACAGCGCTGAGCTCGCACCAGCGGTTGGGGCTGCTCTGGTCTGGCAGCGCTACAGCTGACTGTTGACGGTTCACTTGTGCAGTGGTTTCTGCCCTTTGACTGACCCAAAGTGAGTGGTCAAAAAGAGTAGGAAGTTTGTAGGGAGGTGGGTGTGGCTCAAAGACGCAGATAGTCCAGGCGCATGAGCGAATATTCGCGGCCTGCTCTTTTGTGTGGTGACTACATTGTCCTGCAGGTCTTCCTTCAAAAGCGTAGATCCGTTTGAGCCATGCCCACTCGGAATGATACGACCATATCAGAGGGACCAACACTGAAGGCGGAAAGAGGTGAGCTTCTTCTCGTGGGGAGCAGGAGAGGCAGCTGGTTGCCAGGTACCACAGAGTGGTCGAGAAAATGGATCCCAGCGAGTACCCCAGCGGATTCCAATTGCCATGTATATGCATGTATACCAGCACCCTCCCGGTCACCACCTGTGACTTTTAGGTCAGTAAAAGCCTCCAGAGGAGACCCGTTGGTGCTGGTATACTACCCCTGGCGTATCGCTTGGGTTTTCGAGGAGTCCCCTCCAAGTGAGATTATCCACAAGTGCATCGGACTTCGCTTTGGACTTCCGTGACGGCTTGACCTCCCCAAGTGACTCTTTGGTTGGCGGCTTCGCCCAGACGGTGCGCAGTGGAGTCGGGCAAGACGAAGCTCGAGATCGATTGCCTTGAGCATCTTAGAACTCCAGACTTGAACATGTTCTGGATAGCCATGTGAATATGCTCTATGAATCAATGAATATGAATATGTTTTGCAAGGCCCCCCACCCTATATTCTCATAGCTATTGTTCTGGCAAGGTCAAGTCATGCCAACAGCAGGGCTCTCTTCGGCCACGTGGGCGTCGCCCATGTCGCTGCTTCCTGCGCTACTTACCTGGGCCACGAAGAACTAGGTCCCAGAGCTCCGAAAGGCTTGTGATTGAAGAGTATGAATCACAATGTGAATGCCATGATCTTGCAAAACACCCAATAAGTTTAAAAGCAGTTCCAGGGGTGCTGAAAAGTCCGTGGGCGCCGTTTTTTCTTTTTCGAAAGACGAAGCTTCCGCGGACGACATGCGCGGCGTGCGTGCGTGCGATCTTGCGAGGTCAATGCCAAGGACGACACGGACTCAGACTCCATGTCAAGGCCTAAGAGATCGACCGGAGGAAGATGTTTTCAAAAACACCACGTCTATATCCAATAGATTGAGCAAGAAGTAGCGCCAAAGGGGTGCTGGATAGGGATGGATAGGTCTGGAGGGCAGCAAGGATTCATGATTTTGGGCCCCGGCAGCCGAAGCACTAAGCAGTTCGCCCATCTCGCGCGCCGAAACCGCCTTACAAGACGCCCCGTTTGGGCGGCTTTTGACGTTACCAGCGCTCGTGAATGAGGAGCTTCGCGCCCTTCGCGTCTTTTTCCTGGGCACCTGCCCGGTTCGGTCGCAGTGTGGGACTTCCGGTCCCCCGGTCGCCGCCGGGGCCCAGTTGACCAAGTGATGAGGAAGCACAGCGAGACCTCAACTTTCCCAAGAGAGGTTGAGAGACCAGAACTAGGACCCTGTAGTGGTACATATGGGATGGGCGCCCTAGGGCTGTTCAACCTCTCTTGGTCTAGAACAAATGTGTGCATGGAGCGGGTGAACACCTTCCTCTGCGGCGTAAATGTTTTTTTCAAGAGTGTCCTTGTGAGACGGCTGCGCAGCAGCTAGAGACAGCGCAGAGAGAAAGAAAGAAAGAAAGAGAGAGAAGGAACACATGACCCAAAGTTTCAACACTCCACACTCTTGGGTTCTTGGATCATTCCAGCATGCAGATGAATGCAGTTCGTGGACATGTTCCTTCGAATATCGCCCGGCGGGGCCACGGTTGGGCTGTGCTCAGGCTCGGCAACATCTTGACTTGGATGGTTCCTCGGCTTCAGCACCTTCTTGTGAGAGTTTGCCCGCCAATGTCAGTTTTGCGCAAGCACCATGTGCTGCCCAGTCCCCCTTGGTTTGCCTGTTCGTTTTGTATCAATTTTGTAACTCTTTCCTCCGATCGGGTTTCTTGGAGCTTTGATGACTCCAAGCGTTACGCTTGCATACTTCCGATATGTTCCGAGATTCATGTCATTGTCAACCTCATAAGATTAATGACAAGTCTTCACCAATCTTATTGTGTTTAACATGATAGCATAAAAAG